TATAAATAGGAACCTATGCATTTTTGTAAATTTACCACTTAAACATTTTTTACAACAGATTTTTGAAAGTACCCTTGCATCCCTTTCTCATCTCCCCTGTCTATTTTCACTGCGAAAAATTTATATTTTAGTGATGGACGCAGTAATTACACATTACGGTTATCCTCACTATCCGTGCCTCATCGCCTTACCATCGGATGGTTGTTGGTGATGATTCCATATGATAGAGATGACCCTGGCAATGTGTACACTGTTGAATACCGAACGCCAGTAGGTAACGATGCTGGAATCAAGCAGGTACAGGTTTTCATTAAGAGGCCTAGCTGCTATAAAATTTTCACATACAGGGTGCTGTAGTCATTCATAGAGTACAACGAATAGGCATGTCTTATTACTCGACGCTCATGACTCATGAAAGAGGCGAATATAACGAACTGACATCCGGAACAGAATGGTTGCAGTTTTTAGATATCACTAAAGATGGGGGATTTCAGTATATTCGGGTCAAAGTAAGCTATACAAAATTGATTTTTTTCAAAAATTGCTTAGAAAAATCCTTTCAGGTAGAGCGTGTTCATCCGAAGTCGCATAGTGCTGATCTCAAAGTTTTGACTACATTCCGACCGGTAATTGATTACCCATTGATTTGATGTTTTTATAGGTCACTTATTCAAGTTCAAATCAATTTTACAATTATTTTCGAATATATTAGTACTAGTCTTAGCAGCTGTGTCTTTAAAATTTCGCTAATAAACTATCTGAATTTAGATGTCAGACCATAAAAACAGATTTTTCAAATTTTTCTTGCAAATCATGGAACTCTGGAATTTGAAACGTGTCAAATGAATTTGTCTTGAACACCACCGTTTCAGAACTTTGCAGAATTAAGGAAAAGGATGAGATTTTATTTTTCTGCAATCTCTCTTTTATCTAAAAATTTTCAGGAAAAATGTCGAGGTGCTGATTTTAAATTACCTGTGAAGCCATCTCCTTTCCTAATCACACATGGAGTCAGAAGCGTTTGTCTTGAACGGAATCGTACCATAACCCAACAAGACATCGATCATCAGTTCCTACGTGATTCTTTTTTCGAAATGAGGTTGGAAAAAAAACGATTTGGTCATTCTGCCGCTCTATAAAAATTCCTTTGAGGAAAACTTTTGGACAGAATGAATGCACAAATGGACGAATATGGAGAGGCATCGATGCTTACGATTACGTTTGTGTGGAACCACATCGGTAAGCTTTGCAATAAATTTTTGTTTTTTCGAAAATAGTTTTATTTAAGGGCCGATGATGTGACGGACACGGTGGTAACCATGGACGAGGATAATAGCGGTTGTGACGTTGACTATGTTCATAGAAACGCATTTCAGGTATTTTTCAAGATCTGGGAGCTAGATTGCTTGCCCTCAAATTCTTGAAAGTTTGCATGATTGCGTAAATTCTGACATTCCGAAGCCAAAACCGTCCACCAGTCCATCAGCGACAACGACTTTTGCACAACTTGTAAATTTTTAGCAAATGCTGTTTTTATAAATTCATTTGTGCCTATAGAAGCAGCTGATATATCATTTAATATTGATTTTAGCACAGAAATGAGCTTGTAGGATTGTTCCACGAAAACCCGTCCCGGCAAAGGTTTTGGAACTAATATAAACGATATTGAAGATTTTTTTAGATAATGCAAAAGGCCACGTTGACTTACTTAGTCTTGTTCAATGGGTTGAGGAAGGATAAATATTTTATAGAAAATTCTAATGCCGCCATCCAAGCATTACCAAATGTTTTCCCTCAATATTAGCTACAGTTTTTTT